ATTTTTTTTTGTAATTCTGTTTAGAGTGTTTATACTCAAATTCTGTTTGTTTTTCGATCCCATAGTGAGGATTAATCAAATTATTCATAATTTGACCTAACTAAAGGCATCTGTTGTTTGTTTTTATTTTTCTCTTTGTAAAATTTTCTTATTTTTTTTTTTTTTGGCGGTACGTTAAGTCTTATTGTTGATAATCGCTTATCTGTCATTCTACATTTTTCTTTTGATCTATGGCTGAAGGCGTTGGAAAAAGAAAAACCAAGTCACCTGATCGTTTTGGATTTGAAAGATCAAGTTTTAATAACGAGAAAATTTAATCTATAACACAGGATTTTTCATCAAGTTGTATCATGGCTATAACAAAAGTACCATCTAATTCTGAACTTTATACATTAATTTTAGACATGCGAAAAGATATTAATAATCTTAATATTTCTCAAAATAAACTGTCAGAGCAAATGGATATTTTATTGAAAGGCATTAGGGAACTTAAGTCTTAATGTGAAGAGAATAACCGTCTTAAAAGCACTAAAATCGAGNAATGTGAAGAGAATAACCGTCTTATAAGCACTAAAATCGAGTCTGTTAGTTTTGAATGCGACAAGCGGTCAGTATCTACTGATAATCGATTTACTGGACTATATCAAGTTCTAACTGATATAAAGGACTCTGTTTCAAATATTGACACATGTATAGTAGAATTACAAAATCATCAATCAGCATCCGATATTATTGTTACCGAATTACGTTCCCGAAATGAAGAACTTACTAACAAAGTTGAACACCTCTGTAATGAAATACAAGATATTCGTAAATTATCCGTACTTGACGTTCAAAAACAACCATCGAATCCGACCGTTGCTTTTACAACAATTGATCCTGTACTAACATCTACGAAAGTTCAACTGACACTCGTTCCATGCACGCCTGACATCAGTCGGTTATCTGTGTCTATTTTACCTGAAAAATTTCATCAAGTTGTTCCAGAATTTACCGGTTTTATTAATGAAGTACACCCTGAATTATTTTTAAATAAAGTTGACATATATTTTTCTAGTATTCAAGCTACTGAACAGTAAAAAATTAGTTGTGTTCAACGTCGTTTGTTAAAGTCGCTCGAGTTTGGTTTGACGCTTTATTACCACCTCCTTCTACTTATAATAAATTTAAAGATTTATTTTGTCAGCAATTTTGGTTTGAAACTGTACAAAATCGCGTTCATGATGAAATTTTACAACCATATCGTTATACATCCAGCTCTGGCTTATCAACTCATGCCATGCGGTGGTTTACAAAAGCTCGTTTTTTAACACCGCCTATACCTGCTGAACGTTTAGTCCATGTCATATGTCAACATTACAATGATCATATTTGTACTGCTTTAATCGGTCGTAGTCCAAAAACTACATCTGAACTACTTTCTGTATTGTCTGAGATAGAAAACATACAATCGTTTCACTTGAATTCAAATAATACGAATGACTCTCGTTCACCATCGTTGATTAACAATGGTCGTGAGCGAAATCAAAATTCTCATAGTAATAATCGCAGAGGATATAATCAAAGAAACTATCAAAATCGAAATTTCAATAATCGTCCAAATCAATCAACTACATCTCTTTCGGGAAACGAAAGAGAGAACGACCAGTAATTTTGACGGCTAGTCGTTCTCTCCACCCCATCGTCGATACTATTTCCACTTCGAATGGGAATTCTTCTTTTTTCTATTTCCAATAATCAATCTCCACAGATTGACATAAAATTATTTAATACAAACTGTACAGTACTGTTAGATTCTGGTGCTACATGTTCTGCTATATCTGAAGAAGTTTTTATAACTCTTAGTCATAAAGTTACCGACGCTAAGTTATTACCTATATTACCCATTACTGGAGTTAACGTCTCAACAGCTGTTAATGGAAAGAATAAGAAGGTCCACAGTCAAGTTTTATTGTCTTTTGCTATCAAAAATTATCTCTTTGATTGTATTTGTCTTGTTGTCCCACAATTGTCTGTGCCTATTATCTTCAGCGAAGATTTTTTATGCAAATATTCTGTTGTTTTAGATTATCATCATCATATAATTAAATTCATGTCATTGGATATTGAAATACCATCTAATTCTTCTGTTTCACTCAATAAGAATAAGTTTAATTTGTCTACAATAAAATTACATGTTTTACCGCCTTCTGTATATTTTTCTGAGTCTGAACAAATTGACTCTGCAATTCAGACAATGTCTCATTTTACACCATCTAATCCAGGAAATCTAAATATTGTTGATGCTCTATCACGTAGTCCTATTGGTAGGGATGATATGATTATACCTATGCCCCGTCTTATGACTTTTAAAATTCAAGTGCCACCTCAACTTCCTGACAACATTACAAATATGTTACACTCCATTGGAATTGACCAGAGAGCTGATTCTAAACTATTAAACGTTATAAAGAAATTATCGATGACACCAGTTCCAGTGATATTGTCTAAATTTTATATTATTTATAATGACATTTTATTTCGCCGTCGATGACACTGAAGTGACGATTGGTTAATTTGTTTACCATCTAAATGTGTTTTATCTACTGTTTTATCTATCCATGAGATGTACGGTCACGTCGGATCAAAGAAATGTATAAGTGTCCTCAAAGAATTTTGTATTTTTTCAAATATGGACCGTAAAGTCCGTCATATATTGTCTTCATGTGATATATGTCAACGTAATAAACATCAAACTAAAAGAAATGAAGGTCTTATGCAAAGTATAATTGCCGAGTTTCCTCTTCAACGTTTTCTTGTCGATTTATACGGTCCTCTACACATTGGTTGGAATGGCGTATCTTACATATTTGTTGTTCTGGATAATTTTACACGTTTTGTTCGACTGTATCCTTTGAAGAAAGCTACCGCGTTAGCTATGATCAATCGAATGACTAATGATTATATTGCCACTTATGGAAAGCCGCAGGTTGTAGTGTCAAATCACGCAAAACAATTTGGCAGCCGAATTTGGCAATCACGTTTGATTGAGTTAGGCATTTCACCAACCCACACAAGTGTGTACCATCCATAATCGAATCCATCAGAAAGAGTTATGCGTGAGTTGGGTCAATTTTTTAAAACATATTGTCATGAATATCACTCTAATTGGCCACGATATGATCCCCTATATTGAATGGGTAATTAACAATACTCTTCACGAAGCAACTGGATTTACACCAAACGAATTGTTTTGCCGTGATATAAAATCGTCTCCTATAAAGAAAATAATACAGTTTCCTCCAGGTTCAGACTTATCTAGAGAACAGAAATATATTATGGCCCGTGAAATGCAACTTTCTAAATCAAATCAACGAAAACTGCGTCACGATCGTGGTGGCCCTGCTATTTCCTTAGAAATAGGAGATTTAGTCCTCGTTCGTTCTCATAAACTAAGCTCTAGTGTAGACCGAATGATCATCAAATTTTTTTTATTGTATGAAGGACCATTTGTAGTTACTGATGTTAAACATCAAAATGCATATGTTGTGAACGATCCAGATACGGGAAAGCTTCAGGGTACATTTAATGTGATCTTTCAAAAAGTACTTGTCTCCAATGTCTACGTCTAGTCTATAAAATGGATTCTATTTTAAATTTTAATTTTTAGCTTCGATGCGAAGTGGAGAAGGTATTAATTTTACTATGATAAGTTTATTTTTTATTATTATTTTTTTTTTTTATGTCTGTTGCCACTTTTTCTCAGCTCTCACTGGACCGATTTCTTTCAAAAATACGTCAAAAGATCACAAATCGTATCAAATTGAAGACATTACTCTTAAAAATTGAAAAAAACTCCCTCGTTCCCCGCAAATGGGGGAAATATCCAAAAAAATTACAAATTTAAAAATCGCTAATTTTCGAAATTTTTTCACTTTTTTTTCTTAAAACTTCCATAACTTTTTGAAAAATCAACAAATCAACATAATTTTTTTTTATACTAAAACCTTAGATATTTACCTTTCATTTGATATCATTTTTTTGAAAATCTATCACTTAACCTGCTCATTGGGGGGGATTTAAAATGGCAACTTTTTTACAAAAATTAATTTTTTCAACTTAATTTTTGAAAATGTTCCGGAAAGACTGCGTCCTTTAAACATATATCAAATTAAAGCTTATTTTATGTACTACAAAATGAAAAAAAAAAATTTGTCCCGACACTTTTTTTTCTACATTTAAACGGCTGCCGTAGTTAAAAAAACACTATTTTTGTGTTAAAATTTTCGATTTTCGATTTTAAATTTTCAACTTAAAAATGCTATAACTTTTTGAAAAATGTATATATCAGCACAAATTTTTTTTTTCTAAATACATTATAAGTACATCTTTCATTTGACATACTTTTTATTAAAATTGGACAATTTCCCCTTATATAGGGGGCGTTCAAAACTTAAAATATTGTAAAAAACATAGATCTTTTTCAACTGAACTTTTGAAAATGTTCCGGAAATACTGCGTCCTTTAAACATATATCAAATCAAAGGTTATGTTATATACTATCAAATGAAAAAAAAAAATTTGTCCCGACATCTTATCTTCTATGTGCAAATGGCTGTCGAAAATTTAAAAAAAAATGTAATGTTTGCGATAAAAATTACATTTTATCGGGATGTTTTTTGTACTTAAAACTGCCATAACTTTTTCAAAAATGAACAAATAAAAATAATTTTTTTTTATACTAAAACCTTAGATATTTCCCTTTCATTTGATATAATTTTTTTTGAAAATCTAACACTTATTCTGCTCGCTGGGGGGATTTAAAATAGCAAGTTTTTTTACAAAAATTAACTTTTTCAACTGAACTTTTGAAAATGTTCCGAAAATACTGCGTCCTTCAAACATATATCAAATTAAATATTTTTTTATGTACTATAAAATAAAAAAAAAAAATTTGTCCCGACGACCTATCTTCTATGCGCAAATGGCTACCATATTCAAAAATATGCTATTTTAACAAATTTTTTTTTTTAATTAAACACTATCTACAGATTTGCATCGAAGCGTTTTTTATGATAGTGATTTTAATCACTGTCAGATATCATCTATAATGGACCCAACTATGCCACGACCCCACTGTGCCGCCACCCCACTGTGCTGGGTTTTTTTATTCAATTCTTAATAATAATTTTATATGATTTCATGATATCAAAATTTCATAATGTATATTTGATTGATTTATTTTCAATTTATTTTATTTTATTTGATTAATCCTCACTATGGGATCGAAAAACAAACAGAATTTGAGTATAAACACTCTAAACAGAATTACAAAAAAAAATCAAACACAATAGCTTGACTGCTTAAGTAAAAAATGAAATTTATAACAAAATTTAACACTAAGATGTGAAATTTTGTCAAATATCAATTATAACAACAAGACAAAAAAACTCAAGACAATCCAAGTAGTTATAATTAAGGCAAGGAAAAAGAAGAAGAAGTCTCTAAATTTTTGACAAACATGTTTACAGTAAAATTTGTCACATAAAAATGTGCAAAAGATAATATTTAAAATTAGATCAAATTGATCATTATCAAATTGATAATGGCCAGTCTTTTTGGAAGGGATCAATACTGATAAATATTTCGATTTTAATTATTTTTATCTTTTATCGGTCAGCGGAAAATTATTGAATGGTTGACACCGCTATGTCAGGAAAAGGTTCTTTCGCGATAAAATAAATAAGTAGACATAACAAAAAAAATCATAAATGATCCACCTTTGAATTTGTGACGTTACAATCTTATCCACGATTGACGCTACACCTATAATCCCTCTTATATGTTCGTTCCTTATCCTATCCTTCTATACGGATGGGTCTCTTCGGAGACCGGGTATCGTTTTCTTTTTTATATTATATTTATGTAATGAGCTATATTTTATTAATTATTTTATTTTATTTTTATTTTATCGTAAATTAACTTAATTTTGTTTATGTGTGGAGAGCACGTGTTTCCCTTTTCTTCTAGCCAACGCTAAGAGGCGAGTGTCCAGACCGCTCCTGGTGTTCTTCATTAATTTCCGATTAACATTAACGGGTGTGTTCCAATACCGTCCGTGATGTTTGTAATATTATTTGTTTGTTTTGTTTAAATATTTTATTTTATATGTATTGCCATTATTTGTAGACATGGTTTTTGATGCATTCGCATTTTTGTCCATGTTTAACTTAATTTTCTTTTTTTTTAAAAATTAAATTAAATTTCCTTATTAATTTCGACTGTAATCTTTATTTTATTGCGCGAGTAACTTAATTACTCGCGTGTATTTCATTCCTATTCCTTAATCTAGACACGGGCTACGGTATGTTTTACATATCAACCACATACAACTTTGATTGTCATAATTGTGTTCTATAAACCACGAGGCATTATAGTAATTTATACATATAACGACATATTAATTTAGATTATACTTTTAATTAACTTAAAATTAAATTCCACATATGGTCCGGTAATCATATCTGATAGGTATAACACCTCGCCTAGGTGGTGGCGACGCATGCTACTATAGCTAGTCGTTATGCAAGTGGCAAACCATGTTGTTGTTACAGGCCATTATATAAAAAGCCCACTTACACACTCATCCATCTAAGCATTCTCATCTCTGCTCTACTTTCTTATCATCCGCCCTCTCACTAGAGTCTTGTAGAATTTACCTATTTAGAGACAAATTATTATTAATAAAGTAATATTTTATAAGTAATAAAAATAAATCAATTTCTCTATAGTTTTGGTCGAGTAAAAATAATTTTAGAAAAATTTTTCACGGGTACTTTTTATGAAAACTACAAACATCTAAAATTTATATTGCATTCATATTCGCGTACAACTAATATAATATTTAGTGTACAGCTAACACACTATATTAGTTTTGAAAATGAGGTTGAAACACTCAAAGCAACTTACTAATCTATACTAACCTATACGGTATAGATGTTCACTTCGTTCATAAAACTTGAAAACTGGTAGAACCTAATTTTAATTAAAAAGAATGAGACGACCCACTGTAAATACTTGTTGTCTCTCTGGCTAAAAACAAACTATCAATACAAACACCTAGATATTTTTAATAGTTTAAGATTAAATAATAATGTTATTATAAATGTTAGTTAATATTACGACAACGGTCGTATGTTAAACACGTCCTTTTCGTTTTATTGTTTGTGAGACTTTCGTTAGATTTTTTTTTTTTTTACTGTAAATTGAACTTTGTTTATCTAACAAGATGCGCGAATGTATTTCTGTACACGTCGGACAGGCTGGTGTTCAGATTGGCAATGCCTGTTGGGAATTATACTGTCTGGAGCATGGCATCCAACCGGACGGACAGATGCCGTCCGACAAAACCATAGGTGGTGGCGATGACAGCTTCAACACGTTTTTCAGCGAGACTGGAGCTGGCAAGCACGTGCCTAGAGCCGTGTTTATCGACCTCGAACCAACCGTAGTGGGTAAGTGTGTCGTGTATACTATAAAAAAATTCTTACCGGTCCCTCATATCGGGTAAAATGTGGATTTTTAGACGAGGTCAGAACTGGTACTTATCGACAGCTGTTCCATCCCGAACAATTAATTACCGGCAAAGAAGACGCGGCCAACAACTACGCCCGAGGCCACTACTCCATCGGCAAAGAAATCGTCGATCTAGTGCTCGACCGAATCAGAAAGCTCGCCGATCAGTGTACCGGTCTGCAGGGTTTCCTAATATTTCATTCGTTCGGTGGCGGCACCGGTTCTGGGTTCGCATCGTTGCTCATGGAGCGATTGAGTGTGGACTATGGAAAGAAGAGTAAGCTCGAGTTCGCCATCTATCCGGCACCCCAAGTGTCCACCGCGGTGGTAGAGCCGTACAATTCCATCCTGACCACGCACACTACACTGGAACATTCAGACTGCGCCTTTATGGTCGACAACGAAGCGATTTACGACATTTGCCGTCGGAACTTGGACATCGAGCGACCGACGTACACTAATCTGAACAGGCTGATCGGGCAAATCGTGTCTTCCATAACGGCATCGCTGAGATTCGACGGCGCTCTGAATGTTGACTTGACCGAATTCCAGACCAATCTGGTACCGTACCCGCGCATCCACTTCCCGCTAGCTACGTACGCGCCAGTCATTTCCGCTGAGAAAGCGTACCACGAACAACTATCGGTATCCGAAATCACTAACGCGTGCTTCGAGCCCGCCAACCAAATGGTCAAGTGTGACCCGCGCCACGGCAAGTATATGGCGTGCTGCATGTTGTACCGCGGCGACGTGGTACCGAAAGACGTCAATGCTGCCATAGCCACGATAAAAACCAAACGCACAATTCAGTTTGTCGACTGGTGTCCCACCGGGTTCAAGGTGGGCATCAACTATCAGCCGCCAACTGTTGTACCGGGTGGCGATTTGGCGAAGGTACAACGGGCGGTTTGCATGTTGTCCAACACGACAGCCATAGCGGAGGCGTGGGCCCGTCTCGACCACAAGTTTGACCTGATGTACGCCAAACGCGCCTTCGTCCATTGGTATGTTGGTGAAGGTATGGAAGAAGGCGAGTTCTCCGAAGCTAGGGAAGATTTGGCGGCATTAGAAAAAGATTACGAAGAAGTCGGCATGGATTCGGTAGAGGGCGAAGGTGAAGGAGGGGAAGAAGCTTAACAAATATTATTGTTGCTTGACAAAGTTCTCCTTAAAACTATTAATTAATACACTACGATATTATTAAAATGTTTCATGATATTTGATCATAAATTAATTATGCTTATATTTGACCACAAAATCTACACACGCCCGTTTTTGTACATGTTGTTAATAGACATTTTTTATTTGATTCGAATGTATTTTCCTGTCTACAAAATCATTAAAGTCGTATAAGAAATCATTCCATTTTCCTTAATATAACAATTAATAAGTCGTTTTACCTCGAGCTCGCGTAGAAATTCGTGCAATTCTAAAAAATATTAGTTTTTTTTTACTCTCAGGACGATATAATATGTATAGCATGCCGGACGGGGCTAACTTATCAATGTGCAGAAAACTCGAAAAAAATTTCAAAAATAATAAAATAGTTAAAATTTTAAAAACGAGTACACAAACAGATACTAATGAGGAAATATTTTTTAATTAAAACATAGATATTTAAATGACCTCCGAATAAAAAAATGACTTGTTAACAAAATATTTTGAACTAGAATTCATTTAAACTAGAACTAATCAGTAATAATACTAGTTATGAAGCGTGGTCTATTTTTTATTACTGCTAAGCATTCTTAATAAAGCCATTTCTTCTTCTACCTTGATATACATTATTACTTGATATAAATAGGTTATAATACATTTCTATTAATATGGAAGCGTTAAATTAGAATTTAAGTAATATATTTTCAAATGTTTCACATATTATCAATCTTACATTGATTACTTATTTAATGTTATACAATCAGCACTAAATGTTATACATTATTCATTAATTTAAGTTTGAAAAATTAAATCAAATAATAATTGATATTCAAAAAACTATGAAAAAAAAAATAATTTTGTTCTGGAACAATTTCAAAAAAAAAAAAACAAATTAGAATCACAATTAATTTTAAATAATTTTTTTTACTTTTTCTAAATTTCTAATTATATGAATAAAAATAGTTACTTTATAGATGATTATGTACATTTTAAACAAAAAAATACAATTTTTTTTTTTTTATAAAATATGTTAGGTATAAAGCCATCACCAGTATATTATTTAATTAAGCATTTACATTTTAAAGTAATTTTGTTGAAGAAGAGTATAAGATTATTGTCAATTTTCAATGTTAAATGAAATATTTGATTTTAAACATTATATTTTTACACTTTATTTTTAAAATAAATTACATACATAATGTGTATGCACTAACATTAAAATAAAATAATACTGTAACTAGGTCGGATTAATTTCTAAATCTAATTTTCTTTATTAGACATTTATCTTAAAAGAATTAATTAAAATTCTTCCAAATAATACAACTTGTAATATCTTACTAAATACTAATATTTATCTTATTAAATAAATATAATAGTGGAGATCATAATTAAAAGCTGAAGCTCAAATGATTTGCGCAAGATAGCATTCATACTATATAACCTAAAATAAAAAATTATTTATTATTTAATTTTTTTTTTAAATAATACAATAAAAAATGTTACTAAAAGATTAATACTAACTCAGATTTTTGGTAAAACAAGCATTGCAGAAACATTAGGAACACAATTGAAACAACTTATATTTGAGTACTTATTTATTTTAATTATCTAAAAAAAAAATTAAGGTTTAATTACTATTTATTTTCAAAAACTATAATACACCTTAAATAATATAATATAATGAAATAGTGAAAAATTAGGAGTGCAATGAATGTAATTAGTAAAATGACAAAATATTTACTTTTAATAATTTAATAATCAAACTCCTTCAATTCTTTCATACGCACAGGTGTGTAACAAGTAGAATTATTTACATCTTCTGGTGGTAAATTTGAGGCTTCTTCTGGTTTATCTATAAAAATTAAATTATAATTCAAATGAAAAATGTCACACTGTGATATTTTTAAAAGTTGAGCTAAATACCAAATTTTATATTGTTATTATAGTAGTCATTCATATCTAGACCTAACGGAGGAAAGTAGACAATTTTTTTAAAATCGACTATTTATATAAGCATAATATTTTTAAATTTTTATGAAAATCAATAAGAGATAAAAATGTTTGGTAATGTTATGAGGAGAGAACAATCGAAAGCTGTAAGAACAGTTATAGAAATGAATGTTGAAGGAAGAAGAGGTAGAGGAAGACCAAAAAAGAGATGGAGGTATGCTATTGAATGCGATTTGAGGACAGCTGAAGTTGGAGATCGTGTCAAGTGAAAGTTTAGGATAAGGGTGGCCGACCCCAAGTAGTTAGGATTAAGGCGAGGAAGATGATAAAGAAAAATAAAAGATAAAAATGTCTAATGATATATGTATAAATTTAATTTTGCCATCTGATTAAAGTCTGAAACTCATTGACAATTATTTGAATGAAATAAAACCCAGCACAGGGTAGTCACTGCACAGTGGTGACGTAGCATGGTTGGATCAAGTATAATGATATCTGACAGCGTTTAAAATCACTATCATAAGAAACGCTTCGATGCAAATCAGTAGATAGTGTTTAATTCTAAGAAATTGGATAATTACAAAAGCTGCATGATCTGCTAGTTCCTTATTAATATCCTCATAATAATAAAGTATGTCGAATGAAAAAGGGATTATTAAAAAATATTATTTCTCATAAAAAATTGTGTTGATCTTTCAAATAGTTATAACATTATAAAGTTAAAAATATAAAAAAGAAATTTTTACAAAAATCGTATTTTTTTTATTAACTTTGATGACTATTTTCACCATGAAAACAAAATAAAGTCCGAAAATTGTTTTTTAATATTTAAGTATATTACATAAGTTTTAATTTAAGATATACATAAAAGTGTCAGAGTTTCCGGAACACTTTCAAAAGTTAATTTTTTTAAAAAATCTGTCCTTTTTAATACCCCCTGTAGGCTGGTAAAGGGTCAAATTTATAAAAAAAAATATACCATATGATAAGTAAAGACATCAAGCATCTAAAAAAAAAAATTATATTGATATATTCATTTTTTAAAAAGTTACGGCAGTTTTTAGTAAAAAAAATTGAAAAAATTTCGAAAATTAGCGATTTTTAAATTTGTAATTTTTTTGGAGGTGTCCCACATTTACGGGGAAAGAGGGAAATTTTTTCAATTTTTGAGGGTAATTTCTTTGACTAGATATGATTTGTGATCTTTTGACGTATCGTTGAAAGAAATAGGTTCCGTGAGAGCTGAGAAAAAATTGTAAAAGACACAAAAAAAAAAATAAATAAATAATAAAAAAAAAACTCATCATAGTAAAACTAATACCTTCTCAACTTTGCAATGAAGCTAAAAACTAATTTATTAATAATTTTTTAAATTTCTTTAAATAATTTTCACTAATAAATACTTTTTGATATAATTATAATATAATGAAATAGTGAAAAATTAGGAGTGTAATGAATGTAATTAGTAAAATGACAAAATATTTACTTTTAATAATTTAATAGTCATACTCCTTCAATTCATTCATACGCACAGGTGTGTAACAAGTAGAATTATTTACAAAATAATTTAAAAATAGTTGTAAAAATAATTTACAAAATAAATACATTTTGATAATATTTTTCAGAAAACATATATTATAATAATGTGGTAATTTATTACATTTTTTATTTAAGTGTAATTACATTAAATTAATATTTATGTTATTAAATTAAATCTATACAATAATGTATAATTAATGAGTAGATATAGTTTGGTAGGCAACAATTGTATAATGAGCCTTTTGACCAAAAACAACATATTTAACATGATATCCCTGTTAAAATACAGCTTGATGTAATAATTGAAATTATCTTAAGCCAATCCACTTCAGATTCCTGCATTTTGATTTATCTGAAAATATATATTTTTAAAATTACAATAGAAAAAAAGCCAGTAAAAGGGGGTCGCGGCACAGTGGTGACGTGGCATAGTTGGATCAAGTATAATGATTTCTGACAGTGATTAAAATCACTATAAAAAAAAAAAATGCTTCTATGCAAATCTTTAGACAGTGTTTAATTTTAAAAATTTGATGTATTATTCCAAAAGCTACATGATTTGCTAGTTCCTTATTAATATCTTGATAATGATAAAGTATGTCGAATGAAAAAGGGATTATTAAAAAATATTATTTAATAATAAAGAAATATTGAATTTGAAAAAGTTGTTACTTTAAATACCCCCTTATGGGGGGGGGGTAAAGGGTTAAATTTATAAAAAAAATATGCCATAGGTAAATATATAATATACCATATGATAGGTAAAGACATCAAGCATCTATAAAATAAAAAACTATGTTGATTTGTTTTTTTTTGAAAAAGTTTTAAGGAAAGAAAATTGATAAAATTTCGATAATTAGCGATTTTTAAATTTGTAATTTTTTTGGAGGTTTCCCCCATTTACGGGGAAAGAGGAAATTTTTTTCAATTTTTGAGGGTAATTCTTCGACTAGATACGATTTGTGATCTTTTGACGTATCGTTGAAAGAAATCGGTTCCGGAGAACAGACACAAAAAAAAAAAACACATCAAAGTAAAATTAATACTTTCTCAGCTTCGCATGGAAGCTAAAATTATATAGATTATTCTAAAAAGAATTATAAAATACTTCAATTAATGTATTTAACAAGTAACAAAATATACACTATTCTACTTTCATCAAACAATTTTCATAGAGGTCAATTTTTTAAAAATAATATTTCACATCTAAATTTGATCACCTTTTTGAAATAATTACTTATTAAAAACGAATATATACACATGAAAAAAAAATGAATTAAATACAAAAATATGTTTGTATCAAGTTATTATTGATTGTTAATATGATAGAATTAAATATCATTTTTAATCTACTTTGATGGTCATTTAAAATTAACTTTTATAAATATATAATAATTATAAAATGTTGAACATTAAATACACTATTTTAGCTCTCTCTGCAAGTTTAGAATTGATATCATTAAATAGAAAATGGTATGAGGAATAAAAAATTGTATATTTTAGATTTATATATGATCAGGAACTTATATACTTACTAATAATTTATAGGGTATACTCAGAATTTCGTTATAATTACTATTCTTTTTGTTATAAATAATTTTAATAGAAGTCTTAGTTATCATTATATGTAACACTTGATGTTTAAATAGACGCTTCAATTGAAATATTCAGAACTTAATTTATTAAATATTTATTAATTATTTATATATATATGTATTTAAAATGTATACTGTGCAGTAGGTGTATAAAGTATGATTGTCATAGCTCACTAACCTACATGATGTGGGTTATCCTGTCCTAGGTAGACGGGTGATGTACAAAGTAGGGGGGTTATGGTGAAAGGCATATGTCCCCCATCCCATAGTATGGTGAAAGGTTAAGAATATAATGGAGGAGGCTCTCTCTCTCTTATCTATTACAGTAGATAACACATGTATGGGGAGTTAAGAGTAAATGTACAATTGGGGGTATGCAACTACATAAGGAGGGAACATATACTATGAAAAAATGAATCATTTTCTAGAAATTACTTATTAAATTGTAATTAATTAATAATTATGTGATTGAAATGATTAAGTTATGAAGGAATGGGTTAGTATACGGGGATATATGTTTTGTCATTCGCAGAGTTTATAATTGATTTTGATAAATTGAATGAGTATTTTCGCATAAAAGACTGATTATAACTCGAGTAAAATTAATAGTGTTGTGTCAGTTAAACGTCTTAAAAATGTTTTCTTGTGACCAGTGTGAAAAAGTGTACGTTGCCAAAAAACTGTTTGATGAGGTATAGGAAAATCCATGATGGTATACGATTTAAGGGTTATTTATGCTTATCTACTTTTTCGGACAAATGCGGACTTGTACAGTTATCATGATATATGTATTGTATATCCTGGTATATTCATGGTATACCGAGGTAGATGGAACATCATATAGTATATCTTGATATATTACAGAAAATTGGAGGTATTTTGAAAATTACATAATTTTAGAAATGTGTGAAAATATTTGAGCGCAGAAAAGTGAAAGGTACAATCGAGCTTTGGTAGCGGCATAGTTTTTTTTTCCACGACCGGCTTAAACCCCAACCTGGAACTACCGTTAGGTATTACGTCAGGGCGGTCCACGCCGTCTCTAAAACTCACATTACCACGTTGTGAATCAGCCCGAAATTAATCAAGAGCTGATTCACAACCTGGTGTGGCCTCCCCCGATAGACGGGTCCCAGAGTGGGATTCGTTGCCCGGGTTGCACCAAGTGGTGGTGGGGGCAGGACTTTGCGAAGGGGGCAAAAATAACTCACAACGCACAAATATATAAACACGAATACCTAAGGCGCCGGTCTAAATCAGCGCCTTAGGTCCTTCTGTACCGGGCGGCGCGGCTGCCTCTGTCTCAGGCGTTCAGCTTCCTTCTTCTTTTTCTAGATGGATTCGGCGAACGGAATATTAACCCAAAGAAACCCAACTATAGCTATGGGACATGTATGCCTTTGACTATAGAGAGTCTCCCTTCTTTTAATAACATATGTATTAAAACAGTAGATCAACGGTTTACCCCTACATAGAAGCAGAGGTGATGTGTTACCATACTCATCATAAGATGATCATTATTATGATATTAAAGTGAAAATACTTATAATAAATATGTACAATATTTTACTATATCATAAGAATTCAGTTATTTTGTAATTAAAGTGAAAATATTTATACGCTAATACCTATATTTTTTGTCTTTTAAAGTTGATTTTTTAAAAGTTTATAATAAAAACAAGTTATATTTGTTATCATAACGTTTAGATCAACTTCAAGTTTAAAATTTACATTATCAAATAGATAATTTTTATGAGAATAAAAATATAGTATTTTTAAGAAATTTATCAGAAATGCTTAATATCTTTTTTGCAAATTTATTGTAATAGTTCACTCAAATGTAAATTATAGTAATAATTTCTAAGTAATTTTTGGTGTTTAAAAAGATTCTACGATTGAAATATTCAGAACTTAATTAAATTTAATGATTTAATTTAACTAAAAAACTAATCAAATGTCGTTAAAAAAATTTACTCAATTGAGTGTATTATAAAATTTGAATATAATTGTAAACATTTTTTGTTAAATTCAGGTGAAACAAAAAATAAGTTTTTTTTAGTTTCATGATTTATATATTTTATTACTCGTTGTACAATCTTGTAACCATACTCATCATTATAAGGTGATCACTATTATTATATTAAAGTAAATAAATAAATATGCACAATATTTTACTATTTCATAGGAATTCAGTTATTTTGAAATTACAAAGAGAAAATATTTATACGTTAGAAGTAACACTTTTGCGTTCGGCTACAGAAAATGTTTGCAAGTAGGCCTGAATCAAAAGGAGGACTTCATTGTTACGGTATGCATTATTACTCCATCGCGATATATTAGTATGTCAACGGACTTTTTAAATATTATTTATGACATGATGGATGAAATAACATTATTTCTTCAATCACCTCCGGTAAAAGGAGAGAACATTGTGTTATATCAAAATGTTGATTTTAATATATCCAAATTATTGTACTGTGATACCATGCATTTAGTATTAGAATCCAGGATGGTCAATGGGTGTCGAGTGTTATTGAATAACGAAAACATTAATAGACTTGTGGACTTACAGTGCACTATTAACAGTGCAATATCAAGAAAAATAAAAACACGTTTACTATTATGCCATCAAATAGACCGCATCATACAATACCCCGACTGTAAATGATCAGGCCCTAAAATTCAACATTCAAACAATATTGATATGGTTAACTTTATAAGAAGTTTAAATGACATAGAAATATACGATATTTTTCTTAAAGGTGACGGTAATTACATAAGCGAACTGAAGAATTTAGCATACAATGAAATAGTCGATTGTTGGGTTAAGTCATCGTCCGAGAGTACGCTTCAAATTAATGCGAGTATAATGAACACGAATTGTCATAACCTTTATTGTTATTAAATTTATAATTATAACATGATATTTATATTTTAAATAATTATTTTATCATAAATATTTATTTTCAATTAAAAAATAAACTTATTCGGAATGTTTGATAATGGTTCTTCTAGGTTTAACAATTTTTATTAAATGAGTTGGAAAATTGAAGACACCAGGAACTGTATTAATATTTAACAAAATATCGAAATTCGACCACCTAGAATTTTGCAAAATTCAAGTAAGAAATGTAATTTCTTACTAAAGAAACGTATTCCTATCTTGATTTGTAGTTCTTTGATTTAGAAATACAATATATGATTAATATTCATTATAGAAATTAAATATAGTATGAGATTGATACTTGATAATTTAGTATTGTAATTTTTCCAGAGAATTAATAAAAAATTATAAAGTAGTTATTACTTTTATGGCAAACGTGTATAAAAATTGAAGGGCTTGATACAAAGCATTTCAGAAAATAATTTGTTGTTAATAATTGATTAATGGTTCTACAAGGAATATTCATCAGATTTAATAAAATTATTACTATATTTATACTAATTGTAAAAAATATGTATCAAATTCTGCTATATTTGCATGTCGTTTAGTTTGTGTTGGACCTAATGATCGTTAAAAAATATAAATTGATAACCAAAAAAAAATTAAGGCATATATAATAAAACTAAAACTAAAAGTATTATTTTTCTATAAATAGAAAATTAAATGGTCTAGTGACATATTTTGGAAACCTCAATATATTTCTCTCTACTGGAAATTATTTTAATGTATCAAACATTTTTGGAAGCTCAACTTCATCAATGTCTAATTAATATTACTATTATAGTTTTTTATTTTACTTCACCTTCAATTGTATTCATTTTTATCCTAGTTTCCTTTACTTTACTATCTAATGTGTTTGTCATATTAAGAAATCAACCAGTAACAACGACCCATTGATGTTAAATACAAAGTGTCTTATACATGCAACTTATATGTTCTTTAGTAGTGACAGTAATTATTTCTTGTGTCAAGTCTATACTATTCTGGACCACTAAAGCTGATTTAATTGAATTTAAATAATGATATATCGCGGAATGATTTATTTTGTCAAGTTTGACTAATGTTTTTTTGTCTAATGTATAAGAAATAAATTGTTTAACACTTGATTCTACTTTATTAGCAATAGTTTTATCATTTATATCAAGAAGATTTTTTAATGCAGACCATACAATATGTAAAAAGTACTTTATGTAGAATCGAATTATTTAAGTTATATTTTTTACTTATATTTTATATTATTAATCAGTCTTAATAGTTGAGTCGTATTTTAAAATATAAAATTTTGTCCTTGAAATTTCTAGAATGACGAAATTGTGTAAATTTACGTACCTAAATAATTATTAAAATACTAAAATAAAAATCAAGTGTTTATCTTAAAACTTATTTGTATTATTTAAAATTGTATAAAATGGAAGATTAAAAATATCGATTATTATTACTTTAGTATCGTTATACTATTAATAATAAATTTATTTTACAGATTTATTAGATTTCAAATTTTTACTTATTTATTTCAAAAAATGTTATTTCGATTCTTCATTTTAAATTTTTATAATTTTTGGATTTTAAATCAAAGTTTGATGGTTTTCTGTAGTTCAAGTTCAAATTCAAATTCATACATAGATATTGTAAATGTTATCAGAGATTTCAATTTTATTCGTCTACAGCAAGGATGGGATTTGGATACGTTATATGGTTTCAAGATCGGTAAAAACAAATATGAATATTATAATATGAATAATATTTTGTCGATAATTAATGAAGATAATTTTGATGAAAAAATACCAAGGATAAACGAATTAATAATTTTTAGATACACTGAACATTTGAAAGTATTTAGACATTTATTGAACAGTTTTGTTAATTTATGTTACAGTTATAAGGATTTAGACTCAGAATATTTCATAAAGTGCATTGTCAAGTTGAAGGAAACAATAAGAAAATCAACTAAAATGTTTATAAAATTTGTATATGTCGTTATTTTCTTATATGATGTCAATGATTATCTATATAAGCAGTATAATTTAGAGTTTAAAAGTATTGTTAATCATATAGAGATGTTGTATGGTCTGACATTAAAATATTATCCTAATATTCAAAATAAATCTAATGCTAATAGAGTATTAAAGAATGTTGTAAGATTTTTGCAAAATACATTAGAACAAAAAACATTAGTCGAACTTGACCAAATAAATGATTCCGCAGTATATTATACTAAAAATTCAGTTAATGCTACTTTAGTGGTTGAGCATGGCGTAGACCTGAATAATGTAATAGTTGCTGTCACTATTAAAAAACATACAAGACTTTTAAATTGGTTTTATAAGATAGCAGTTAAAGATGGGTATTATGATTTGGGCTTTGACAAAGTGATCGTTGGTAATACTTACAGGTAAGTTTTTATACTAAAAATCAAAACTGTACCTGAAAACTAACATAAGTTAATTATGTCAATTTTTAGAGAAAACATAAAAATAGAAAAATTTAACATTTTTAAATCGTTACAAAGATTTACAGCGGCCTACCTTTTTTCTGTATGTTTTGTCGACTTACGTTAGATGATACAAACTTAAGTTTGGAATTAAACTTTTCAAACTCTGATAAAATATGGAAAGGTTCATTGTAACAAAATCTTACTGTTATAAATAACATTCAATTTCATAAACAAATATTTAATAACCCCAAAATCATATTTTTTTAAGTCCGCCAAAGTGGTTATTAGTAGTGTAGGTAACTTATTTTTTTAAACATTTTTTACGTCACATTTATTCTAATTTATATAAAAATAAAGTATGTAAAATGATTTTACTGATCATTAATATTATTTAAAACTAATAATACTTTTAAAATATGAACTTAAACCTAAAAAATATTTAACTCAAAAAGTTACAAGAATATTAAACAATACAGCTACGATTTATCAGTGTTTATCTCGTGTACGTCTGAAGTCACTCGCCTATTTTTAAAGTACTATTCTGTTTGACTGTTTATTCAATATTTTTATCCGTTTTGAAACCAAAGTTTCGCCTTTTCAGTACATTTACGATGCCCACTGGGGTTCTTCAAGCAATCTGGACCTAATTCGAAAGGAGGTGATCATCACCACTGCGTTGTAAAAGTATTTTGCAAACTTCTATCTCTCAAAATTAACGGATAATTCTGGTAAGAGCAATCAATCTCCAACGAGCCCTTTTCACAAAAACTAGTTAATTCCGACGGTAAATAAATTTCTAATGTCCCCAATCTTAAATTCGGTAAAACTTTCTACAAAATATTTTCTGTTATTCTTATCGTCAACCATATCGGTTCTGAGCATGTTAAAACCACCTTTGATTCGGTTAATAATGCCAACAATTGCGCCACTTACCAAACACGGCTACTTTGTGAATATTCCTAGCACTATATACTGTATAGTATTACTTGTTAAACCAGCGTAGCTACTCATTCAGTTAGGTTATAACGACATTTGATATATTTTCACAAGGTAGAGCATCACACACTGTTTATGACATTTTATGATTACAGTCCATTCACGCATTTTAACACATATTCATTAATAAATATTTTTCAACATAGGCATATAAAATTAGAAATTAAGGGGCGCCATAGAGATTATAAACCTGAACATGAAAATGATGATTTTAATGAAGCAGCAGAAGATGCAGAAGTAGACGAAGAAGAAGAAGAAGATGAAAAACTTCAACAACAACGAATACAACAACAACAAGAAAGATATCGAAAACAACAACGAGAACGAGAACAACATCAACAACAAAAACAACAATATAATTATAGTTATGAAGTTTATAATGTTGAAGATTATATATATGGAGATGAAGAAGATTAATAACTACCAGATTCTAATGATGGTCAATAATACTATCGAAATTTAGATACAACGATTGATTTCAATAATAAAAGTTATTTTTTTTATATTACAGAAAAAGAAAAATTGTTTAATAATTAAGTCAGGTATTATTTTATTCAATGTAGCTTTTAATTTAAGAATGCTAAACATACAAAAAAAATTATTTTTATTGATCCAATGATGAAACTGCAAATAATGTTTATGACAGGATTTAAAAAACAATTTTTTTACTTTAGACAGTTGTTAATTGATTTTAATGTTCTTTTTGTTCCAATAAAAAAAAAAAATTTAATTTATGATTTTTGTATTTTTTTGGTCATTTTTCTTTCGAGTTATGTTACCGTTTAATTTTATTATATTCAATTTTTCAGTGGATAATTAAAAAAATTTAATCTTTTTTTTTTTAAATTATGTTTCATCAAAAACCCTATGAAAATTCAATAACATATTTTTGAGTAGACTTTAAGTCATTGTATAAGCTGTTTTAAAAAAGATTAATACAATAGTTTAAAAATAAAAATATTAAAACTCTGTTACAAGAAATACATAATCATTTCAAATTATTGAAAATTCATTGATTATCATTATTATTTCTGTAGTTAGTTGTGAGGATGAATATAGCCAGGCAAGTACTTATCAACGAACACCATCATGATATTGGGTAAACCCGTTGAACATCCTGCATCCCAAAAAAATACTTCCGATCAATATTTCAAATTTTCTAATAATTAAAAGTAATAATTGATGGTGAGACGTGGGTTCTGCTAATTTTTAACACATTTTTCTGCTCCTTTTGTATTCATCGTGCCACTTGAATATAAAAATGTTTATAACTTCTAAAATACTGTTCCAATGTTGTTTTTAACCAATCATTTCCTTAATTAGAACATTATCTAATAAATAAGTTAGTTAATTATGTACGTATGAAAAATTAAAAGTTAACATTTATAAGTAGGGTTCGGGACTAATGCGCTAAAAACCCTAAGATTATGTATTTAAATATGCATTTTAGGAAGTTTGTGTATGCAATTGAATACGAACTATTGTTAATTTATGCAGTGATATATAGAGTGTTCAGAAAGTAAGAAAACGGGTTTTTATTTCATTTGAAATAATATATTAGGATAAAAAAAAAAAATTGTTTTTTGATTTTACATATATTGATTTTAAATATGTTCAAAAAAATCATTTTTAACCTTTTTTTTTGATCCATTACATCAACTTCAAAATTGATTATATGTATTAATATGATGATATATGATTAATATGGAGTTAGAAAATTGTATAATTATTATTACTGAAAATTTATCAGAGAAGCTCAATATCTTTTTTGGAATTTTATTGTAATAGATCACTCAAATAGAAATCATAGTAATCATTTCGAAGTAATTTTTGATGTTTTAAAAGATTGTATGATTAAAATATTCTGAACTTAATTAATTTTAATGATTTAGTTTAAATATAAAACCAATCAAAATTTTGTTAAAAAAATTACTCAATTGAGTGTATTATAAAATTTGGTTATATTTGTAAACATTTTTTGTTAAATTCAGGTGAAACTAAATATTATTTTTTTTTAGTTTCATGATTTATTTATATAGCAACATGTTACCAAAAAGTTGGGAATATTGTAACTCGATAGTGAGATACACAAATAAAGTTAAAAAATAAATATATTACGAAGTACAATTATTTAATTTTGTAGTTGAAACCTATAATCATATCAAACCTAATTCTAAAATAAATACTTTAAAAACATTAAAAATTAATGATTTTAATCTTTTATATGAAGAATGTGAGCTAAGTAACTTTTTAATTGATAGTCATGTTATGAGGAGAGAAGAGTCGGAAGCTGTAAGAACAGTTATATAAATGAATGTTGAAGGAAAAAGAGATAGAGAAAGACCAAAAAAGAGATGGAGGGGCTATTGAATGCGATTTGAGGACAGCTGATGTGAGCGTAAAAGATGTGGGAGATCGTGTCAAGTGGCAGCTTAGGATAAGGGTGGCCGACCCCAAGTAGTTGGGATTAAGGCAAAGAAAAAGAAAAAGATTACCAGAAATTCCGGTGGCAATTGACATAATATGATTGTTGTTTGGGAATGTACAATTTAGCGTTTAGTTGGGTTTAAACAATATAGCTTCAAATCAATTACCTACTCTATCGCTTGCATATAAATATACTCTACACTTCTACGATACAATAAATAAATAAACTCACACATACACACATATGCATTTATAACATTGTGTCTAATGTAAGTATAACATGATAGAAAGTAATCGTAAAATGAAGAAAATGGAATATAAATTTTAGTGCTCATATTAAATGTAATGTAGCTCGAAAAATATTTGTTTAAATAAAAAATATAAGATAATTTTAGCTTCGATGCGAAGCTGAGAAGGTATTAATTTTACCATGATGTGTTTATTTTTTTTTTTTTTTGTGTCTGTCACTACTTTTTCTCAGCTCTCACTGGACCGATTTCTTTTAACAATACGTCAAAAGATCACAAATTGTATCTAGTTGAAGAGATTACCCTTAAAAATTTAAAAAAATTCACTCGTTCTCCGCAAATGAGGGAAATATCCAAAAAAATTACAAATTTAAAAATCGACAAATTTTGTCATTTTTTTCACTTTTTTTTCTTAAAACTTCCATAACTTTTTCAAAAATCAACAAATCAACATAATTTTTTTTTAAACTAAAACCTTAGATATTTTCCTTTCATTTGATATAATTTTTTTGAAAATTTAACACTTAACCTGCTCATGGGGGGGGATTTAAAATTGCAACTTTTTTACAAAAACTAACTTTTTCAACTTAATTTTTGAAAATGTTCCGGAAATACTGCGTCCTTTAAACATTTGTCCCGTCACTACTTATTTTATGTACTAT